CTACCACGGGAATGTTCTAGAAATCTCCGAGCGGACTGGGATCAGAAGGCTGGGTAGCAGTTATTCCGGCTGTAAGGGAGAGAGTATGGTCCAGGCAGTGGGAACATGGTTGGTGAAGGCCCTGAGGCCGGAGGGGGTGGCGCTCTTCGTGGGAAGCTCGAGGAGGCTGCAGGACAAGGGAGAGTGAGGGGAGAAGGGAGGGGTGGCCGGCAGAGGCCCGGTCGGTCACCGATGGCCAAGCAGGAGGCTCTGTCCTCAGGGCTGCAGGGGCCCGCTGTGACATTTGTCCATTCAAAAAATAGCCGGGCTCGGTGGCTCAGCCTGTCATCCTGCGCCTTTGGGAGGCCGAGGTGAGTGGATTGCCTGAGCCCGCAGGTTTGAGACCCACCTGGGCCACTTGGCGAGACCTCATCTCTACAACAAATTAAAAAATCAACCGGTAGCGCATGCCTGTAATTCCGGCTACTCGGAAGGCTGAGGCGGAAGGTTCACCAGAGCCCAGCGGGTCGAGGCTGCGGTGGCCGGGAGCGGTCACTGCATCCCAGTCTGGGCGACAGAGTGAGACTCCAACTCAAAAAAAAAAAAAAAATACATCAGGTGCCTGACGGGCTCTGGCAGCACCACTCTAGGCAGAGACGCACCCCTGCCCTGTGGCACTGAGGTTCTCTTGAGCAGATGCAGTCACTGCTGGAGAGAAAATGCTCTCAGGTCCTAAGGAGCATGATGAAGCAGGGAGAGGAGGAGGGAGCTCCAGAGGGTCCCACTGTCCGTGGGGTGACCAGGGAGGCCTCTGAGAAGGGGACGTCTGGGGGAGGGCCTGAGGAGGGCAGGGAGAGAGCCAGGGGAACAGCATTCCAGCCGGGGAACAGGAAGTGCGAAGACTCTTCGATGGGGAAAGGAGGAGCAGCGTGGCGGGAGCAGCAGTGGCCAGCGCAGTCTCCAGGAGGGCTGGTCAGGGGGTTCTGAGGACTGTGGCTCTGACTTGGAGCAGAACTGGGGGCCGCGCCCAAGGGCTGGAGCAGAGGAGAGCCATGGCCTGGCTTTTATTCTAACGGTGCTGTGGTGGGGGCAGTTTACCTGGGCCACCGATGGAGGTGGGGAGGCCCGTGGGGGGAGGTGGTGGCCATGGGCTAGGGGAGTGGCGGCAGCGGATTGTACCTGGACATGGTCCCAGTGTCTTGGACGTGGCAGCGTGCGGTCGCACGGCTGGGTGAGGGGACGGCAGCGCGGCCCTGGGCTCTCAGCTTCCCTGCCCGGGCCTCTGCCCCTGCCCCAAGGGCCCCACGGCCCTGGCCACCCCACCCAGGCTCATCCCTTGTCCCCAAGGCTCTGTTCCACCCCAGAGCCAGATGGGAAGTGGACAGGAAGCAGGAGGAAGCACTGGGTCGATCCCAGTGTCCTGGCCAATCTGTTCCCATCAGTGGGAGGATTTCCGGGCCTGAATGGCCGGAAATGTTGGGATGGGACCCTTCACCCGGGAAGAGCAGGCGGAGAGGGAGGGGTCCCTACTCCACCTCACTGCCTCTGCTGCTGGACAGAGAAGCCAAAAGACTTTGGAAGCCCACTGTGGCCGGGCCGCAGTTTGAGGGACTGTGGTTAGATGTCAGGAAGGACTTTCCAGCAGGGGAGGCTAGCAACGAGGAGCCCTAGGATGTCAGAACGGGGTTGGGGGGCTGTCAGACGATGTCTCAGTGAGGAGCCTTTGTCCTCAGGAGCTAGGGGAACCCACAATTTTATCTTTTATCTCAACTTTCTTTTTTTTTTTGAGTGGGAGTCTCACTCTGTCGCCTAGACTGGAGTGCAGTGGCCGCTACTTTCTTTGTTTTAAATACTTAAATATTTGGTTTTCAATAAGGCTTTGAGGAAACGTTTTGCCAGTGTTCAGCCTCCCCTCCCAAAGCTGCAGATGGGAAGACTGAAGCCTTTCCTATCCAGAGAGCTGGGATCCAGCCCAATACTACCGAGAGTGGTTAGCGCTGGTTGTTTCTGTCCACGCATTCCCTTGAGCAACGCCTCTTGAACTCCGACCAGGTTTCAGGCTCTGTGCTGAACAGCAAATGAGACAAAGTCAGCCCCCTTGTGGGGGCATCAGATAACTGACAGTCAACAAATAGTTGCAACACAGGCACGGTGGCTCACGCCTGTAATCCCAGCACTTTGGGAGGCTGAGGCGAGAGGATCGGTTGAGCCCAGAAGTTTGAGACCAGCCTGGGCAACATAGCAAGACCTCGTCTCTACAAAAAAAAAAAAAAATTAGCCAGGCATGGTGTTTTGCACCTGTAGTCCCAGATACCTAGGAGGCTGAAGCAGGAGGATCGCTTGAGGCCAGGAATTTGAGGCTGTGGTGAGCCATGATTGTGACACTACCCTCCAGCCTGGCTGACGGAGTGAGACCTTGACTCAAAGAACAATAACAACAGCAAAAACCCACCACAACAATAAAAAACAAACAAAACTCCCAAGTAATTGTAAAGTCTTCTCAGGTAGAAATTAGAAAAACTGGCCGGGCTCGGTGGCTCAGCCTGTCATCCCAGCACTTTGGGAGGCCGAGGCGAGTGGATTGCCTGAGCCCACGGGTTCAAGACCTGCCCAGGCAACTTGGTGAAACCTCGTCTCTACAATAAATCAAAAATCAGCCGGGTGTGGTAGCATGCGGCTGTTGTTCTGGCTACTTGGAAGGCTGAGGCGGAATGATCGCCAGAGCCCAGCAAGGCGAGGCTGCGGTGGCCGGGAGCGTGCCACTGCAGTCCAGCCTGGGCGCCAGAGTGAGACTCCAACTCAAAAAAAAAAAGGAAATTGGAAAAATTGAAAATGAAACAGAGTTGGGGCAGACAGTAAAGGATGAGGGACTGTTCTAGATGGGGTGGTCAGGGAAGACTTCTCTGAGGAGGTGACATAAAGCAGAGCCCTGAATAAAGTAGGAGCAAGGACAAGCCTCGGGAAAATCTGGAGGGAGAGCATTCTAGGCAGAGGGAACAGAAAGTGCAAAGACCCTGTGGCCAAAATGAGTTGGCAAGGAGGCCAATGGAGCTGGGGCAGAACAAGGGACAGAGTGAGTGAGGGAGATGGGCTGAGAGGTTGGTGGGTGGCCACTGGGCATCCCAGGCCACTGGCCGCTGGGGCCATAGGTTGGGGAACATATGACCTGGCTCATGCCTGTTTCTCTGGTGTAATGGTGGTGTCGCTTACTCTCACATGGGGAGAGAAGTTCCGATTTGGATGATCCACTACAGAGCCATGGAGAGCTTAGAGTTTGTTCTTGAAGAGATGGAGCCAGCCGGGTGCGGCGGCCCAAGCCTGTCATCCCAGCACTTTGGGAGGCAGAGGCGAGAGGATTGCCTGAGCTCAGGGGTTCGAGACCAGCCTGAGTAACATGGTGAGACCTCGTCTCTACAATAAATCAAAAAAATATAGTCGGGTGTAACGGCACATGCTTGTAGTTCCAGCTACCTGGAAGGCTGAGGCAGAAGGAGCGCCTGAGCACAGCAGGTGGAGACTGCGGTGGCCATGAGGCAACACTCCAGCGTGGGTGGCAGAGGGAGACTCCGACTCAAAAAAAAAAAAGAGAGAGATGGAGCCACCGGGGGGTTGGGTGGGGAGGGCATGCCCAGATCTGCTAAGGTTTTAGCCTCAGGCACCCTCTGCCCACAGGGTGGAAGCTGCCTGTGGGTGAGTAGAGACGGGGAGGGGTGGCCAGCTGGGGTGGGGCCGACACAGGGGAGAAGAGGTCGGGAAGGTTTTGATGGCGGGACTTCCTGATGGATGGGGTGTGAGTGTGAGCCAAAGAAGAGAGGCAGCAATGACTGCGAGGGTTGTTTTTCCTTTTTATCTAATTAATTTCTTTATTTGGAGGCAAGGCTTTTACTCAGTTGCCCGGGTTGGGGTGCAGTTGGCATAATCACGGCTCCTCACAGCCTCGACCTGGGCTCAGGCAATCCTCCCGCATCCGCCTCCCGAGCAGCTGGGACTGCAGGCACACGCCGTGCCCAGCTAATTCTTTGGTTTCTCGTAGAGACGAGGCCCTGTCGAGGTGTTCAGGCTGGTCTCAGACCCCTGGGCTCGAGCAGTCCTCTCGCCTCAGCCTCCCAAGGGCTGGGATTATAGATGTGAGCCACCGTGCCCCGTGGACCACAAGGTTTTTGGCCCAAGCAGCAGGAAGGATGAAGCCGGCCTTGACAAGATGAGGCAGCCGGTGTGGGGAGGGTCAGGTTCTGCCCTGGATGTGACCCGTTCTCCAGCCGCCTTCAGGCCTCCACGGGGAGGCGCCAGGGAGCTGCTGAAGGGGCGAGCCCAGGTGCCTCAGAGCAGGGATGGCATTTAAGGCCACGCACAGGAGGAAGTGGCTGCTGGTGCCCTCGCGAGGGAGGAGGATATGTGTTCAGCCATCGGAAAAACAGCCCCCTCCAGCCTCCGGCCCGTCCAGGCTCCATCCTGGCCACCCGGGAGGCAGAGGGAGCCGATTCTGTAGCCCACTGTCATCAGTGGTGGCTCCACCATGCTGGGTGGCCGCGAGGGGGTCACTTTGTGCCGAGGAGTGAGCGCAGGATGGGAGAGGGAGGCTGAGCCCCATCCTGGCACGCTCCAGGGTTGAGTCAGGGACCGTGAGGGGCCTGGGGAAGCGAGGGAGGAGGAGAAAGAAAGCCGGGAACACGGTGTCCTGAGGGTGGGGAGAAGGCGGTCAGGAAGCGGCTCTGTGTTGAGCACGTAACAGTCATCACTCCCTGGTCCCTGGAGACAGCGCCATTAGGCAGAGGCTGTCATGATCCCTGATCTGCAGATGGAAAACCCAAGCTCGGAGAAGTGAAGGGCCCCGCCTGGGCTTGCACAGCTGGAGAGAGGAGGGGCAGCCGGGCCAGCAGACCCAGCAAGTGCCCCCTCCTGCCTTCCGGGGGAGCCTTCTGGGGTCCCAGGGGCCAGTGCTGCTCCAGGCAGGGGGCAGAGCCGGGCAGCCGGGGAGCCTCGCGGGACTGGGGTTACTCACGTCTGTTCTCTCCTCCCAGGGCGTCTGGAGAGCGGGAGACTGGCGGGGACTACGTGAAGGTAGGAGGGGCCGGACCGGGGCTTGGTCAGGGGACCCTGATGGTGGCAGAGCCTTGTTAGGAGCCGGACCTCACCATCTGGTCCCAAGAGGGGAGGGTCTCGGCACTTGGGGTCTGGTTTCATTCCCAGTCTCTTCTCGCCCACCTGCAATTATCCTCTCCCGGCCCCAAACTCAGGGCGCCCCAATATGTGTTGCCACCAGACCCACAGACCCACCTCCTGGACAGGGCCCCTCAGGCTGCAGTGCTCAGTCCCACCCAGTCTTTGAGTACCTACTGTGTGCTGGCTGCAGGAGGTGAGGCAGGAGAGGTGACTCAGCTCTCCATCGCAGATGGGCAGAGCTCACATTCTTCCAAAGCTTAACATGTCCTGGGCACTAGGAGTGTTGAGAATGCAGGAGTTTTGAAATGGAGCCAAGAAAGCAGAAGTAAGAACAATAACTGTAGGGTGTGGTGGCTCATGCCTGAAATCCCAGCACTTTGGAAGGCCAAAGTAGGAGGACTGCTTGAGCCCAGGATTTCAAGACCAGCCTGGGCAACATAGCAAGACCCCATCTCCACACACACACACACACACACACAATTAAATATGAGTCAGACATGGTGGCGTGCACTTGTAGTTTTTGCTACTGAGGAGGCTGAGGCAGAAGGATTGCCTGAGCCTGGGAGAGTGAGACTGCAGTGAGCCATGATCGTGCCATTGCACTTCAGCCTGGGTGATGGAGAGAGACCCCAACTCAGTAAATAAATAAATACTGATGATAATACTGATACGAGTCAGGTGCAGTGACTCACTCCTTTAATCCCAGCACTCTGGGAGACTGAGGCAAGAGGATTGTCTGAGCCCAGGGGTTCGAGACCAGTCTGGGCAACTTGGTGAGACCTCGTCTCTACAAGAAATAAAAAAATGAGCCAGGTAGCCGGGTGTGATGGTGCATAGCTACTTGGAAGGCTGAAATGGAAGGATCGCCTGAACCCAGCAGGTCGAGGCTGCGGTGGCCATGAGTGTGCCACTGCACTCCAGAGCCTGGGCGACAGAGTGAGACTCCGACTCAAAATAATAATAATAATAATAATAGTAATACAAGATAATACTTTGAGGGCCTACTGGGTGCAGACCCTGTGCTGGCCACGACCTGGAGGAGAGGCGTTCTCGACATGAATGAGGTCTTTGACTTCTTCCCCCGTCACTGGGCAGAGAGGGCTTTCTTGCACCCACTTGCAGATGGGAAACTTGAGGCCCAGAGAAGTGCAGTGACTTATCCAACGGTCACACAGCTACATGGAGGAGAGCTGGGATTACACCCCAAGTTTGGTACCAAGACTATAGCAACAGCCCTCAACCTTCCACACACCTTGACCCAGGCCCGTGCTGAGTTCTGAGCATACAGTAGGGGCAGAGAGCACCGAGCCCTGCACCAGAGGGCTTCTGTCCATGTGGGGACCAGGGCAGAAGCAGATGCCGGTTTGGGCTCATGGAGTCCGTCATCGAGTCTTAGCCGCAGATCTACCGCTTGCTCGCCCCTGGCCTTGGGCCTGTGCACCACCTTCGTCAACCTCGGGCTTGGCCTCCGTGGAATGGGGCAGTGGTGGTGCCTCCAGCCCTGGAGGCTATGGGCTCGATGAGTGCATGCCCACGAGTGAGGGACCTGAACCTGGAACAGGGCAGGTGGGTGGGCTCCTGCCCCGGGGCCACTGCAGCCCCTGGGTCGCTGTATCACTCAGTATAAGTGACTAGTGATGAGGGAGCCTGGGAATGCTCAAACTGATGCTCCCACACTCACATCTCGTGAGAAGCCACGGGAGCTCCAGAGGTGGGGGATGACCTTTTTTTTGTGTGTGTTGGAGTCTCACTCCATGGCCCAGGCTGGAGGGCAGTGGCACACTCAAGGCCACCGGAGCCTCGACCTGCTGGGCTCAGGCGGTCCTTTTGCCTCAGCCTTCCAAATGACTGGAACTACATTTGCACACTACCACGCCTGGCTTATTATTTTTTATTTATTGTAGAGACAAGGTCTCACCATGTTACCCAGGCTGGTCTCAAACCCCTGAGCTCAGGCAATCCTCTCGCCTCGGCCTCCCAAAGTGCTGGGCTTACAGACTTGAGCCACTGTGCCCCGCCCAGGAGATGACTTTCAGCTGGGGAGCTGGGAGGAGGAGATCAAGGAAGGCTTTCTGGAGGAGGAGACATTAAAGCCTGGCCGTTGCAGTTGACCAGGAATATCCACCAGTATCTCTCCCTGAATGAAATGCTGGAAAGGAGACAAAGATGGTCACAGATGGGTAGGAGGGTCATCCTGGCAGAGGCCAGGGTGTCGGCAATGTCAGAAAGCAGGCTGGGCAAGCCCAGGAAACACAGCCGGGGTGGCAGAAGCTCCAGAACCCTTAACCACAGTGGGAGGGTTAGGGTTAGAGTTTGGGCGGGAAACACCGGGGGCAAATTTCAGCACCCCCCAAATTCCAGCTGCCTGGTGAGGGAGAGAGCCCTGTGTAGGTTGTTAGCTTTCTTTTCTTCCTTTATTTTTTCTTTCATATGTATGTATATTTCTTTTTAGAGACAGGTTCCCGCTCCGCCTTGCAGGCTGGAGTGCACTGGCATGGTCGTAGCTCACTGCAGCCTTGGACTCCTCCCGCCTCAGTCTCCCAAAGTTCTGGTACTACCAGCGTGAGCCATTGTGCCTGGCTGGCTTTTGTTTGTCTCCATCTCTAAAAAAAGTTAGAAAATTAGCTGGGTATGGAGGTGTGTGCCTGTAGTCCCAGCTCTCGGGAGGCTGAGGTGGAAGGGTCGCCTGAGCCCAGGAGCTGGAGGCTGCGGCGAGCTTGATCGCGCCAGTGCACTCCAGCCTGGGAGGCAGAGTGAGACCCTGACGCAAGTTTTTAAAAAGAAAGAAGCACTCCTCGCTCCCCGGAGCTGCTCAAACAGTCTCCCAAAGGAGAGGGTCGGGCGGATGCTAGTGTTCGATTCCAGACTGCGTGAGGGTTTCTAAGTCCCTCTCCCGGACGGTCCTCTGCGAGGGG